TTTGTCGGGGCTGAAGCCCCTTCTCTTTGTATGTTTGCGGTTTTGAATCTTTTGCATCCATTTTCGACTTGAATATCTTAGACGCCCTCATGATATATCGTTTTAGAGATGACTAAAATAACATGTCTTTTAAATGGTTTGTGTTTCATGCTATATGTCCTGCCCATTTTGGTTTACGTTGGGCATTTATGAAGATGACATCTTTCAGATCGTCTTCCTCTGTAGTGCAAACTGATTCCTAGCGTTGCTCTCACCATCGCTGTTTACGCAAATCTGATTTGTTTATTATTATTATAAGTAAGTAAGTAAGTAGTTCATGGGGTGTAAGAGGGTCCGAACAACATCTAACGGATCCCAAGCCAGCCTCACCTGCACGTGCTACACCCTGCCGACTAACTAACGAGGCTCTGGCGCTCCCCACCAACCCGCTCTGGGCCAGCGTGGTGGGAGACGGCCCAAAACCCTTCAAAGATTTGAAAATAGACCCAATCGAAAGGCCCTAAGTGCCCGGCGGTGCCGGCGCGGATGGACACCGATTCGGCAAAGGCACCAGGGGTGCGAAGAATCCCCGGGCGGCAAAGATCCCTCGTCAAGCGACCTTGGCCCTGGCAAACTATAACGCACGCACACTGTGGACCGAGGAGAAACTGCTGGAACTAGAGAAGGAATTGGGCAGGATACGTTGGAGTATTGTAGGATTATCCGAAGTCCGAAGAGAAGGCGAGGACGCGATGATCCTTTAATCCGGCAGCCTGCTCTATTTCCAGGAGGGCGAAAATCTGTCCCAAGATGGTGTCGGGTTTATCATCCACAAGTCTCTCGTGAACAATATTGTACAGATCGGAAGTGTATCGAATAGGGTGAAGAACCTTATACTCAGAATCACCGAACGGTATTCGCTGAAGGTCATACAGGTTTACGCCTCGACCTCGACGCACCTCGACGAGGAAGTGGAAGCCACGTATGAGGAAATTTCTCGGGCAATACATAGTTCCACGACCCACTACACTGTTGTAATGGGAGACTTCAACGCAAGGCTAGACAAGCGTGGCGATGAGGAGTTGAAGGTGGGACAATTTGGATCAGGGATCCGGAATCACCGCGGCCAAATGCTAGCCGGCTACATGGAGAGGGAAGGACTCTATATGATGAACTCCTTCTTCATAAAACGGTTGCATCGAAAGTGGACCTGGAATAGTCCGGATGGGGTGACAAAAACGAGATTGACCTCATCATGTCGACTAAGACTCGCATATTCCATGACGTCTCAGTGATCAATTTGTTTAATATGGGAAACGATCACCGTATGGTAAGAGGCGCATTGAATCTAAACGTAAAAGCCGAACGGTATAGACTGGTGAAGTCTACTTTCTGTCCTGAAGCCACCCAGATCCGGAACTCCGAGCACTTTCAGGTCGAATTTTAAAACCGCTTCGATTGCCTAGAGAGCTGCTCAGATGTGGACGAATACAATGACAGGGTCGTAGAAGCTGTCCTTACGGTGGGGTCGAAATTTCTCGCCGTACTCAAAAAAGAAGAAGAAGACCCTAGTGCCAAATTAACCCGAAATTATACCGAAGACATCCCAGACGTCAGTCTATATGAGATTAGTGTGGCTCTCAAACAGCTCAAGAACAACAAGGCGCCGGGGTATGACGGAGTCACAGAGGAGCTTTTGAAAGCGGGTGGACTACCAGTCCGGAAAGCGCTTCGGAAGCTATTTAACTCCGCCATACTCGAGGGCAAGAAGCATGGCACAGGGGCATGATGGTCCAATTGCAAAGTAAAAATGGAATACGAGTAAGATACTTGAGTGGACATAACATAAATATATCAACAAATCAATTATTAAGCTATAACCAATGAAATATTTAAAAGAAAGAAATCAGATTCAAAGAAAGAAATTACAACGTTGAGACTGTCGTTCCCAAATAAATACATTTGAGTTTGTTCAAAACCTTGTCCAGCTTCAAATTAATTAAATTCCACTTATTAATATCACGGTAGACCCAACATTCTCTCTTTTGGTAAAATAAAAATTAAATATCAAAGCACATTAGTACTTAAATTTTATTTTTTAAAGTATATTCTTAGTTCACGTCTAGACTCACACAGCAGGGCGCACAAGTTTGTAAGAGAGAATTACGGGCCATTAGCCGTGGGTCGCTTATATACGAACGGATCAGTGACCAGTCAACTTTATCAGAGATGATAGTGATCAAACACTTTTGCTTACTTCGCAAAATTTGTCAACGGATAATTTAGTAATCTCTGGAATCTAAAATGAATTCATTTGCCATGACATAGAATCTAAAATGTCTGGTACGCTTATATTATATCAAGTAGCTTTTATGTGAGGTCTTTTCAGCGTGGTTCATGGAACCGAGGTTTTATCTTGGTAAAAGCATTGTATGCTTTTATTCAGAGTTAACTCCTAATATATCCAAACACAATCAGCCGACATAGCGCTGTGGAGTTATAAACAAATATCAAACTTTAGTATTATAATAATATTGTTGAGGCATTTCTGTAACTTGTATATATCTTCGAAGTTGACAAAAATAACAAATAAGGAAGGCATATTAGTAATATCTGAAACGGTCAATGTAAAGGCATTCAGATGGATAGAATAACCTTCATAAATATCTATACAAAAGTGCCGTAACTTATATCTGGCGCACAGAATAGGGCTTCTGTCACATACACTACCAAAACTTATTATTGCGGTACAAGGAAATATTATTTTATTTACTTCATATTAATCTAAGAGTAAACCGTTTCGTTGGCTTCTCTTATATTTTCTCGTAATCGATGTCCTCGCATTATTGTGCCATTGTGAATGTCGTTATTCTAAAAGGAGTTATTTTGTGCTTATTCCAAGTGAATTGTTTTTTTGCCAAAATAAATGAAGCAAACCTATATGCTATTATCATTTTTTTACACAAATGGTGTGTTTAAAAATCAGTGAAAATATTTTGTGTATAACATGCTTATACGCAACGTGTTTTTTACATAAATTTGATTTGGAACTGTACTGATTTCTAGAAACTTAAAAACTGTTATCGAGTTGAAAATACGGAATTGCACTTTAAAAGCTCCCGAACCACGTAGAGTTTTCTAGTTTCCTCTCCTCTCCGAACGTGGCTTAAAACCCGTTTCAATTTCTAGGAATTGCTGTTGTTTCAAATATCCTTCGATACATAACTTATCGTTGCATAATGTTATTACAGCAACGGATGTTTTATTAAGGGGATGATCAAAGCGAATCGAATAAAAATAAGAAATCCGTTAAAATATTCAATTAATAAAATAAAATTTTACCTTACCCTAAAAATCAGCATCTGTCAGCGTGTCTTTTAGATTTCCTATTTATTTAATTACTACCTGATTTTTTGAGACTTCAATCGCCTAAATCATAGGCTATGTCACCTGCCTATGATAAAGCTTTCCGTAGGTGAAAGAATCCTGTAATTTCGAAGCCTATTCAATGTAACCAAACAAACGATAAAATTATTCTTCTTTATAATATTTTATAGTATTAAATACACAAACTTAATGAAAAATGCTTAAAAATCCACTTTATTACAAATCCACTTTATTCACGAAACAGTTAAACAATTTATATTTATTATTGTAGTAGTAAGTATCAAATTGAAGCGCTGTCGCAGTCCTAAATAAACAAATTAATAACGTGGAATGAAGAACAATTTACCAGATCTTCTACTTGATATTCAAATTTTTCGAACGGCCAGTAATTGTTTTGTGACTAAATTAATTCAGATGATTTATTAATCTTTCTAAGTCAATATCTTCTAGTTCGTTTAAAGGTTTTTCAGGAAATAATTTGATTATAATCTAAAACATTTATACAATAATCTTCTTTTTAAGGTTCGTCCGCCGGTAAGTTTCGTCCACAACTAGCGGAGGTTAGCAGTCAGCTTCTCGTATTCAGTTCTATTTTGGGCAAAGCGAAAGAGCTCGGCGACGCTATTGATACCGGTCCATTCTCTTATGTTGTGCAATCAGGACTTTCTCCTACAACCAGATCTCTTTCCAGCAACAATACAATACCGTTAGCTAGAAACTTAGTTTAGATAAGCATTAATACCGTCGTGTTAGCTACTTAGTTTAAATAAGCATTTTGCAACTATAACAAATCCACGAATACGTCCTCGTGAATAGTCTATCGAGTATAATGTAGATTTCCGTAGGTGAAAGATTTTGTATGATTTTGATGACAATAAAACAAACAAATTAAAATAATAAATCACTTACGTCAAAATGATAATTTAATTCAATCTATTATCATATTCAGTATAAATCTTCCAATTTCCATCTGAAATAATAACTTTATGTACTTATATGTAGGTGAATTTATCCAATACTGCTAAGTGTGAACGACTTCTATATTACGGCAACAGCTGGGACCAGCAGATTAACGTTTCTTCTACGGTTCGGATTTGCTAGAAAAAAGTGACAAATTACAAGTCACAATGCCTTCCGAACGGTTGTATATACATATGCTTATATTTTAACTGAAATAGTGTCACACGTAAAAAATATATTACGTCTTTCAACTTATATTGTCAGTGAAATTGGTATATAGTTTTGATGGATTACGATAAGTCATTTCAGTTATAAATTCTATATATTATAATGTTTATTTATATTTATGTTATTAATCAATTGTATTCCATTTTATTTATGATTCATTAGGATCAGCCTCTTTTCTGGATAGTGTGATATTATTACGAATCATCTCACGCTTCATACCGACCCCTCGCACAGTGCGACATAAATCTGAGTTAAAAGTTAATTTTGTCAATCCGGATAATTCCTCAAGGTTTAATCAGACTAAGTTGGGTGTAATTAATGTTCGCTAAGGCCACACAATCTAGGGAAGCTTCGGCTTAACTACGGAAATCGGAGTTTGGAGCGTCTACGGAGAGGTGGAGGAAAAGCTTCTGCCGTCGACACTAGCGCCACTGCATGTTGGCGGCAGTCCTCGGAACATACGCGCCGGTGACGAACGTGCGTGCCCGCTCAGCTAGTCGTTTATCTCGTAACCTGAAAACGAATAAGTTAGTAACCGATTTGTCAAATAAAAGTTGGAATTGTTCCTAATTGTTACAGACGACGTGTATGTGATACTGTTGTGCGAGTTGGGAATTTGAAACTTTTTGCAAAATTGAGGGTAAGTCGATTTGTATTAACTATAATAATACAATCTATACAATGACCACTATATAATGAAAAAGGGTTAAATTCTTCAGAACACTTGTAATACCGGGGGATGATAATATTGTTATTCAAAGAGATATTTAATTTAAAGAGGTTTATTGAAAGAAATGAATATCGTATTACTTAATTATTAAATTTTTAGTAAAATTAATATAAAAATGATTTGACTTAATGAAAAGATAATATATGCTGGAATCTTATCTAAGCTATTTTTTATTTGTATTGTAATTCTCAGTAAATTAATTTTTGTCATTCTTTTGAGAATAAAGATTTCTATAACCGTAACCATAATTAGAAACATTTTTGATGCTCATCAGATCGCTTATATGTAATCGTGGACAAAATAGTCAAAATGACTAAAATAAATGACAAGAATAGTAAAAATGAGTATCTTGTCCAGGTACAAAAATGCGGCTAGAAATATTTGGCAAAAAAAGTTGAAAGTAATTTATCTCTACAACTCTAAGATAATAAATATATTAGAAATTTCTGTCTTCGCCTGCACAGTTCTGCACAAACACGCGACTGCGTTTGATTTTCTCTTCAGCTGGATGTGCTTCAAGTATATTCTTAAAATGAAAATCAGAGTCAGGTTCATTAGGAGTTTAAAACAAATTCCAAATGACAAAATAAATATACCTGTTACGTTGCAACCGTGTGATTTTTTAATTTAAACCATTATCTGTGTATTACATCTGTAACTCTATAAATTAGCATAAAAACTGTTGTAATTGGTTAGAGATCAATGAAATATGTCAATTTGCGATTCTCTACATCAAAAAGGCTTGTGCAATAGCAGTGGTGTATAACTGGGTTTATTCAACGTTTCTAAAAGAAAATATACATCGTACTCGAATATAATAATAGGGACGTCGATTGATCTTTTTTGTACATCGGGCAGATTATTGGATAATATTTGACATATATTTTTTTAATTTATTTGGGAAAACCACAAAATACAATTCAATACTTAATTCTAGCAATTACTTATATCAGTTATTCACGTAAAATAACAAAACAATCAGCTTCAGTTGAGGGTTAAACAATATTTAGAACTGCCCAGCGCATCAGCCGTTATCGACAGTGCGTTGGCATGTCTATTGTGTACGTAGCGTAATGGTAAGTAGTGGTTTGCCGTTACTGCCGGCTGCCACGCTCGACCATGGCTACCAATTTCTTTCTTATTGATACGAATATATACATATCATATATAAATAGTAATTATTATATTATAGGTAACAGATACATGTATAATAATACATGTCATACAAACGTATTTTTAATATACTCATTTTTGTACTTCCGTTATTAAGTACATTGTAGTAAGGGTTTAATTATATATATATACCATTGCTTATTTAATGTTTTTTGTTAAATCAATTTGATTGTTGTAGGTTGTAAGCATCTTCCTTAAGTTGGTCATAAAAGTTCTCTTACAAGTCATAAAGGGATCAAGAGTATTAAACTTCGCATTAAACGTTCGTATAAGTTTAGTAACAACCGCATTGTCATCGTTCGATGTGGGGTGTCTAGGGACATAAAACAAAGTTGGTTTAGGTCTGATGTCTGTATGAAGTTTTTCAGTCTGGGATGGTTTTAATTTGTATTTTTTTAGCATAACATAAGTGAAAGGAGCTATCTATAAATGCATGTATGTTATATGTATGTACGCGATGTATAAAAGAGGACCGAGGTAGGAACCCTGTGGTACGCCAGCGGGTATACAGATGTAATCTGACCTATATCCACCCATAACTACTGCTTGGGAGCGATTTGTCAGATACAAAGACACCCATCTCATTTAATCACCATGTATGCATTTTTATTGCGTTATATATAAGTAATGGCGATAGAATGAGTCGAAATAACTTGCGACTTCTTACCTATGTAAGTTTGCTACATATTTGTGACATAGAGAGCTCCCACACCTCAACTTTAATGCTTATTATAGGGGTGATCTCTTGTTATCGTGAAGCAAAAAATTCTGTCAATATTTTTGAATTATCTGACAAGCGGATTAAATAGGATTCTTGGCTTTTTTTTCGAGCATTATTCCTATTAGAATAGGTTGTACATGCTCTTTTGAATCGAGAATTTAATAAGCACTGTTTTATTAGTTGTTAATGCGCCGAACAAACAGGGATATCGCAATTAAATTCATTTTGAGGGATTCATTTACAAAATTGACTAATGATTTAGTTAAATTTAGAAATAGATTAATAATTTTGTTGTGTAAGCAACAATCATTGAACACTTTTATATTAGAGGTCGAAAAAAGCTTTTAAGTAAAAAATATCTTATCGTTTCAAATGAATTACAATATCTTAGGTAAAATATTACCTATCTCAACGTAAAAGCGCAAATAAAGGACAAATTAATAACCATGTGGCCGACCGAATTCATTAATCAACCCTCGCTGCTCATTTTTGCAAAGGCCGAGATTCACCCTTTGTTCACGACATAGGCCGACTGCGCGCCCGGCCCGGGTTTTGAGATAGAATTAAAATGTACAGCATGATTCTCCCATTAAGGATACAGATTTTAATATAAGCTATTTTTTATAGTTAACCTCAATCTTAATATAATAAAGTTACAATTAAAATTTCCTTATTCAAATAACATTAATGAATCTTTTTGAATAGGCCAATATTATTTAGCTAATAAGTGCAAGAGTGAGACAATTAAAAAATATGTACGACGGGTATGTATCTCTTTTTATCAACATTTATACCGATTTTTATGTGAATTGTAAACCGATTTTTTAAATTCGGGCGGAGTAACAACCTACATAAAATATCCACGCGACTTCAGTTTCACGAACATTGTATCGCCTTTGTTGTGAGTATTATTTTTCATGATTTCGAACTCGGTTGTTATTTTAATTTCTTTTTAATCATAAAGTGAAACTGAATATTAGGTGCATTATAATGTAGGATTTAATTTCACTTTACTCCATATTCACAAATATTTGTTCTAATAAGCTGAAGCCTACAAATTTTGCAGTAAGAGTTGTCGAAAACTCAAACATTTGGTTATCTTCGTTCATGTTCATATAAAATTGCTATTTTTAGGTGCAAAAACTATTTTTTTCATTTATTAAGGATGGCCAACAGTTGCTATATTAACAACTATACCACAGACGTCATATACATATTAAGTATTAGACCTTTGTGGTGGAGTGGCTCACACGGCTTCAAGGTATTGTGGTTCCTTCATGATCAGCCTATTATGGTTCCTGCTGCAGAACAGAGCTTCCCTGTAGATGGAATAAAAACGCATGGAATAGGAAGAATGTTCACGTGGGTCCAGTACCGATTGGTGAATGTTAACCACTGCAGATGTAGCCTAAATTAACGACTTAACGTGCCTTCCGAAGCACGGAGCTCGAGTTAATAAATTTTTGGCCACTCATTCTATGCTCGGCCACTGCAGAAGCTTATTGAGCTATTTATATTACATTCAATAAATTAAGTTTCAAATATTCCCCTTTCTTTACTGAATAGGTAACTTATATGATTTCATTGTTAACTATCGAACCATTTGGTCCAACTCGTCCAATTTTGATATTTTTTAATTGGTATCATAAAAATTCTCATAAAATTTTATATAGTTTATGTGTATTTTATCTGTTACTAAGTTTAGTAACAGATTATATTAAATTAAACAGACAGACCATTGCTGAAATTATCATGATATAAAATCAATTAGTCTTTGAGTTTATCACGTTTGACAAATGTTAAGTATAACAAGAAATTAAGTTATTTTATTTGAAAAATAACTTTATTAGATGAAGAGGTTTTTGTTTTTTTTGTATCAATGTAGAATAATTTATATGTTAGATAAAATATAGATTAATAATTTAGAATCGGATTGCCCATCTAAATCAGGGTCATCACTGTAAAATAATGTTACTTGCGCGATTTTATTTATCAATTCCTTTCATGTGTTGTTCGTGAAAATCGATCATTAATCGAGAGAGACGACGTAATTACGTTAAAACCGTTGTCAAACGTATACGTCTATACACAAATAAATTGAAAATATATAAGGTGCCTATCCTACTTTTGGCTTACTAATTTGCTGATTGCTTGAAACAAACAGATTGGACAAAATGCTCTCATTTGTTATAAAAAAAAAACTCTTATGCAGACAATCTATTTTTTTATTCTATTATTGGGACGTGTTTTCTCGGTTGGTGCTCGATTTTCACGAATAACTAATAAAAGAGATAATTAATAAAATAGTTGTCTAAATTGTCGATCTACATTTTATCTAATGGGAATCTTTTTTTAACCACAACTGTATTGTAAAATACGTAGATACAAATGCAACTCCATCAGATTTCCGAGACAGGCTTCAAATCTATAAATCTTCTCTAGCCGGGCAATTACTCTACCAGTCAAGTTACCCAAAATCTAGTGACAATATCCAATGTCTCAAGTGATTGTTACTTTTGCTGCTAGTGAGCGTATTTACTAGCAGCTGAAAAAAAAATTATAGATAGCAAAATGTTTACGTTACAGATAGCAAAATGTTACGTACGAGTGTGAAATTAGGGCATTTATGAAAGATGTTTTTTTATTTTCTAGAGAACCGATAAATTTAGTTATCTATTAATTAATTGGCCTTTTTTGCACGGACGATGGAGTACGAAATATTTTTATATAAATGAGAAGTGCATTTTTTTATTATTAATAATAATATACATAATTAATTCATTATTGAATTAAATCATTAAATACTCTAACGTGTGTTTGAACTAATGTGATGTACATACACATATTAAAACTTCTTTAAAACTTTTTCATTGTTTATAGAATATGCTTTATTCATTTTATTGTTTAATTAAATAATATTAACAACAAAAGGTTAGCTCGGTGGCGTAGTGGATAAGCGCCGCTGCCCGCGATCGTTGTAGTTAAGCAAATTTCGCTGGGGTCAGTCACGGGATGG